GTAACAGCATGCAGCGTGTGATGTTACAGTCAGGAAGGTACAGGAAGAAAACTCTGAGAAATGAGCTGAGAAGGAGCTTTGTGTCTGGGAGTTGTCTGTTCGTGAAGGCCTGCAGGTGCAAAGGCAGTATTTTGCTCTCCATCTATAGCAGCACAAGCCTCACATCGTTTATAAACCCTTCTGATTTTAGGGGTGCTATGAAACATCACCCACGAGTTCAGACCGCTCGCTGCCATCGCTCCACCCCACAGCCCTGACTCCTTCTGAAGCATCTTGCAACCACTGGCTCTACAGGATTTCACTGTCGCCAAAACCGTTACCGTCGCCAAGAAAAAGCGTGTTCCCAGCTGCCACACAGATGCTAGAAGGGCAGAAAACCACCCCAGTTCCCAAGCACAGTTCAGCCCCGGGAGCAAAGAGGTGCCCTAGGATGCTGGTGGCTCCCAACCCTTGGGTGAGACCTCTCCTGTGGTGAGAATCCCACCTTTTAACACCTGCAGAAGGACCGGTCTTCTCCTCGCCCAGGTCCTCTGAGAGCTCCCCAGCCTCAGCCCCTGCCCTCTGCTCCCCTCGCCAAGGGGGAGCTGCCCCTTACCTCGGGCTCCTCTCGGCTGTCGCAGGCTCCCAGCTGGTGCGAGCAGGGGACAATGTGGGGTTGGTGCAGCCACATCTGCTTTTTGCTGCTTCCCCCAGCCCAGCCTTCGGCAGGCTTCAGGTTACAGCTTCCCAGGGCTCTCTTAAAGTGCTCTGCTCCCATTTTCCGCTGAATTGCACTAACTTTTTAACCCTGCCTTCCAAAACAAATGTGCTCCCTGGGATAAGGGCAGTCTGGCGGGTAAAGCACAGGTCGGAGAGGCAAAGGCTCCCTACCCTATTTGAGCAGGTCTTTTATCCCCGCAGTTTTGTCACATGGGGGAATTCCTTCTGTCTCAGAGGTATGGTTAATGCAGCAGTGTTTAATGGATTTATGGATTTATGTCCAAGATTTAATGGAGAGACTTGTAAAGTGGAAGCAGGATTCTGTTGCCGTTCAAAGCAGTTAAGGGGAATCTGTTCAGAAGTGGTTCTATCCAGCGATAGTTACTAGTTAACAAGAAGTTATTAACATAACTGGCTTAAAGGTTTTGGCCAAAAAGGAAGAGATTAAAAGCCAAGGACTCTTGGTTAAAAAGATGAATTAACAGAATGTTGGAGGAGCTTACAGAATGATGAATGACCTGGAGAAGGGAAAGGGGCAGAGGGGTTTTGTTGCTTTTTGCCATAGCAGACTTCTAGGGCAGCACCCAACAGTGCACATTTAAATCAAGAGGGTGTATTTTTCCTAAGTATTGAATTGTAAAACTCACTGTAACTAGATATTGCAGAAGATGAAAGATAAATAGATTTGGAGGGGGGGGAAGAAACCAACCCAAGCCAAATGAGTGGAAGACAGGTCCATGGAAGGCTAACAGTGGTCAGATGTAATGTCAGACTCAGCAGCGAGGCGATACAACCACAGAACAGTTGTTTTTCCTTGTCCCTAGTCATTCTTGGCTTTTTTTTTCCCCGCTCACTTGTTCCTGGCTACTGGAAGAGCCAGTAGCCTGGGCTAACTGGACACATAGCTAGCCTGATGCAGGGCAGCTGGTTGGAGATGCTGAAAGTAAATTGCCACCAGTAACGTCAGTGCCCCCAGTCCAGGCTGGCGCTGGGACATCTCCTTTGTGGGCTGCCAGCCTCGCTGCTGACAGGGAACAAGGAGTTCCTCATGCCTGCTGGCACTGAGCTCATGCAGGATGGTTTTGGAGAAGCATTAGCTGCTGGTTTTGCAAGCTGGAAAAGCAAATCAGGTAGTCTGCCCTGTGATTAGTCAGTACTTCAAAGGTGACCCTTTCTAAGAGTAACAGCTCTGCTTTCAACTGCTGTTCAGCCTGCTGTGTGAGAAATCATCTGCAGAGAGATATTTGTACTTGTTAGTCTTCCAAGAATGGGGGTGTTGGCTGTGGAGATACCTTTTGATGGTTTTCATCTCTTTTTGATACCTTATTTGTGGTATTCAAATGCCCTTTATGGACAGACCGCTAGAGAAGTTTTTACATCTCGTCTGTGTCTTCAAATGAAAGCCCATCTGTTTAAATACAGGTTTGGTTTTAAATCATTTAAATCGGAGTGACGGTTGTATAGAACATTATTAAAGACCAAAGCAAGCTTTATCCCTGAAATGGTGCGTGATACTCCTCTAACTAGATGCAAGTGCTTAAATCAGTTTTGTTAAATCCATACAAACATTTTCCTGTTGTTCTGGTTTGGGTTCAAGATAGAAGGCAGTATGCTGTTCAGTTCTGCTATGGAAGTACTGATCATGTTCGTATGAATTTGCTCTGGAAAGGAAAAAATACATCTACTATTAAAGATACTGAGACTGATTTGATATTCTCAGCCAGTGGTGCAGATGAGCTGTAGAGCGGACGCCCTGTGCTAGTCATGTCTTTTCAGAATAGAGCTCAGTCAAAATGAAAGCTTAGCAATGCAAAGTGGAAATTCCTGAGCAGAGACATTAATATTATTTTGCATTTTACAAACTGCCTCTTCTGGAGAGTCGGTGGAGTGAAAAGAGTCTTAAGGTTGGTGTAGCTGGTAATTTGTTGAGCAAAGCACAGTCATGGAGGGCTGCTGTACTGTCAAATAAGATGAAATTAATAGTTTGACAAGAATAGCTTGGAGGAGGAGGGATGGCAGAAACATGGAAAATAGGAAATAAGAACCAAGCTGCTCAGGAAACTGAGAATGAGGGGAAAAAACTTTATAGAAGAGGGGGAGCTGGAGGGCAGAGGCATGCAAAGGAAGAATTGCACTTCAAATTTTGCACAGGTTGCAGTGCAACAGGGTGGAATTCCGGGAGGTTAGCGCTGAGGTTGCAGTAGCCAGAGGAAGACCTACCTAAGGCATGGGACGGTATTTCTGAATGTTGGGAATGAATCTATATAAATAAATAAGCTAAAATGTTCCCTGTGGGCTAGAGCTATGCCCTCATAAGTAGGACTGAATTCTTGTGGGCTTTCTTGTTAAAATTACATGGCCCTGTAATTACACCCTCTTTTTTGAAGGGTACGTGTCATTGCATTGGTTAGAGGGGTAGACATTATCTTTGGCTGTTCTTCCCCTTTTAGACTGCATGAAATGTGTAATTGCAGGTTTGAGCCAGGACTTTCTATTCCCCAAAGTCTCCTGCATCCCCAAAATTCATGGTTAGTGAGTCAGTCCTTCTCTTATTCCAGCAGATGGTGCAGACTATTCAGGGACGGAGGCTCCCAGAAGCATTCTGCTCCTTCCTTTGAGGGAAGGCAGACTTCCCGAGTGAGGAAAACATTGCCAGAAGGACGGCCCTTGTGCTCTGTAACTGCTGTTTCACAAAAACAGAGCACCATCCTTATTAACCAGAAACTGAGGGAGCTCAGAAGGAGAATCTACTATGGACAACAGTTGTTTTGTACAGAAATAGCTGCAGGATAGCAGGATACAGTGAGTTAGACTAATATTTTTAAGTGGCTTGGTTGGGTGGAGGCTTCCCAAGATGCTTTCACGGTAGCTCGCTTCAGACGTGCGCTGCTACCTCAGAACAAGGACCCAGGGAGCTGTGACCATCTCAGACAAAAGTGAAGCTGTAATGGGACGTTGCCTTTTGCCAAAACAGGGCAAAAGCAGTGGCATTCAGCTACAGGCACCAAAATCTGCCCCCTCCTTCCCCTGGAAGCTGTCCCAACCATCCACAGCATTGTGCTGTGGAGCCAGGAGTATCCTAGTAGAAGAACAAATTGCAGGTAGCAGAGACCAGATCAGCACCTTTGAACCTCCTAGTAGATACCAGCGATGGTCAGGTTTTGCCCAAGAGAAAAGTTAAGGACTGCTTATCACTGCATTGCTGCTCACAGGCACAGTACCCTCCTGGCCCTATGCCACCGAGCTCACATCCTAATTCAAGGAATTCTGCCCATTTTGCAAAGCCAGCTCTGACCCAGTGGGTGTTCCCTGCACATTCTGTGGGTGGGATGCCCAAAGCTTGTTGAACTTGGTCCTTGGACAGCCTTTACAGCTGAGCCATGTCACCTCACAGTCCCTTGTTTTCCTCTGTGATGAGGTGTAGCGAAAGGGAGATCCTTTGCGAGAGCCCCTCCTATCTTTCCATCTGTCACACCCAGACTTTTTTCCTCCTAATCTTTGCAATTATTCAAGTACCACACCTTTTGCCTTTCTCTGTTGGGTCTTTCAGTGCAACACCTTAAGCAAATATATTCTGCTTTACTCTTTATTATCTGCCAACATAAAAATTACTAAAAAATACTTTATAAAATATGCCTTGAAAAATCTAGCATTACCCCAGAACCTAGAGTTTCCCAGGAAAAGGGCTGGAGATAAGGATCCAAAGGGGTTTCCCACTGCAGACCTTCCCTCATCCAAGAAGTGGGAAAAGGGAATCTTTGAAAAGAGCCTGTGCCTGGAAATGTCTGTAACACATCCTAGAGAAGACAACTGGTTACTAGTCCAGTTGAGCTAGAGGTCATTTTCTAGGTGGGTACAGATGGTTTTCAGAGGAACACTTTGAAGGAGACATGTTCACAGGAACTGCGGAAGGAAGAGCCATATTAATATCTCTGGCTGTTGTCCCAACTGCCAGATGCTAATGATGATTCCGGGCTATGGGTGACTCTAATAAGAGCTTAATAAAGACTCTAATAAGAGTCTGGGGACAAGGAAGTCTCCCTTCCAGGACTGAGAGCCCTGGAAGGGAAATCCAGGCAGAGCAAGCTTTTCAGGTTCAACAGAGGGGAACCCCAGCCTGGAGAAGCTTGTCAAAGCTGGAATGGGCTATCCCAGGACTGGTCTCTAGGGATCTGTAAGGGAAAACAGCAAGGGATTGCCTCCTGTGGCCTCAGAGGGAGGTCTCCAAGGCCAGGAGGCCTCTCTGAGCTGGTCCAAAGGGTCAGGTAGCAGTCCCAGAACGCTCAGGCTCTGCTCCTCTCTTATTTGGGAATGGGGTACTCATTGACATCTGTTGCTTCACTTGAGTCCCGTGGGTCTTTTACCTGGGGAGCAGCATTTGGATTAGGGTTCTGGACACTGCCTATAAAAAGTGGAATGCCTGTTTCATCTTCAAAGACAATGAAGACAAAGGGCCTGTCAAGGCTGAAGGCAGAGACCGAGCGTGAAATCCCGACACTAGTAGCAGCAGATGCTTCCATCCCGTCTTCTTTAAGCTCCAGGGTGGACTGATGCTGTATACTGGATACAAAGAGAGGCTCCTCTGTGATCTTCTGGAGATCTGGGCTTGTGAACAGCTCGTGGAGGCCTACAGAGAAATGAGACTAAGTTAACCTTTCCCAGTTGGTGCCACCAGCTCTGATCTTTCTCAAAGCTGTCTGAAGAAACCAATTCCCTAATCTGTTGCTGCACGTGTCATCCACCATGGAGGATGGGAGAACTGGCAGGCAACGGAAACAAAAGCTGCAGTCCAGCCAGGTTCCCTAGTCCCTCTCTCTATGAAGAGCTGAGGGTGCCAAAACCAGAACAGTCTTCACAAGCTTTGTCCACCTCCTTTAGAATAGTGGCGTAAGAACTTAAACCCTTCCTTAAAAAGCAGCAACAAGTCTGAAGGCTCTTTCTTGCTAGGCTGGAAACGATTTTACAGAGGTTATTATTTTCAAGCAATTCTGCAAAACAAAGTGAACACTTCATTAATTCTCATCTGGAAATGCAGTGCATGGTGTTCTATTTCAGTAAGCTCTCGGTACCGGGTTTTGTGACCTGCATTCTCTCTGTGGGCAATTTCTATGGCCTGGGCGCTATGTTAAATGACAAAGTAAGAGATAAAGGTTGACGCATGGGAGGAAGTTGGTCTTGGCTACAAATAGGGGAATAGGAAGAGCTCGTGAAGATTGTGAGGAACTGTGAATGCTGCCTTCTCTATAGTATCATCTTGTTGGAGCAAAACATTTGGTGCCAGGCAAGCAAAGAGTAAGGAGGAAGAGAGGAATAAGAGATGAAAGAGTTTGGATGTTATCTGGAGCAAGCTGTGAGGCACAGCTTTAGAAACAAGGATGGCAGTTTTTAGTGTCAGCGAACAGATGCCACATAGATTGATCAGCTTCACTTATTCTGTGCAAATCCTCTTAGAGGCCTTACCCATTTGACTGAGAACCTTGTTGAGTTCCAGCTGGTAATCCAGTTTTATTTTGGGGATCTTCACGGTGGTGGGTACCTCTCTGGGGAAAAGCCTGCATAGTTGTGCATAAGGGAAGTTCTCCAGCACTTGAGAGGTGTTCCAAGTATACTGGTTTGGTACAATGACCACAAAACTCATGTTACTCTTAAAGGGAAACTTGGCCACCTGGAAATAAAATCAACCAGTAGAATTTGTGGAAGAGGAAGGAAATGCTTTTAATGTACTCTTTTTCTAATTGGTCCACAGAGCCAGTCTAGCTATCAGATGAGAACAGCCTGGTGGGAAGGAGGTATCTGATTTCTTCAGAGGAGAAAGTTTGTGGAATAACAGCATTAGATATTAGTATTAACCACTGAGCAGTAAAGACTGAACACATGGCAGAGTGGAAGCCCGCATACACAGACTTTGTACCCACTCTGGCAGTAGCTGTATTCTGCAGGGCTCCAACAGTACATTGTCTGAGGGAATTCCTTTACGTATTTCCTCATTTATCTTTAACTCAGGGCCTCAAAACTATTAATTCCCACCTAGTGGGAATATCTTTTTGTGGTTTTTCCTAGAGATCAAGAATGAAGAGTCAACATTCTTGCTAGAAGCAGGGACAAAGGATGCTTATGAAATTTTTGTGCACTATGTTAAAAGACATTTGTTTTTTGGAGAGAATGCTTGCAGTCAGTAAAATACCATAGCAAGGGGAAATTCCAACCAAAACTTGTAGTGGTCCTAATAGAGCCCTACCTGAATGTCCTGGGACTCCAGCGTAAACCAGCTCAGGGGGTACTTCTGGGCTTTCATCATCTCAACTGGGACCATGAATTCATTGTCAAGGTGAAATAGATCTGGCCCAGTGAAGCTAGCATCAAACTTATTCCTCCAAAACCCTATTAAAAAAAAAAAAAAGTTTAGAAATCAAGGTTAAACTTCAGTGGGAGAATAGAAACTGCCTAGCTAACACTCCTGCTATTGTGAGTTCTCCAGCAAGGCAGATAGTGACCAGACAAGTAGAAATACAGCAAAGAGAAGTCAGTACCAAGGCTGGAAGAGCCCTAACAGCAGGAAACTCTTATCTTCCAGAGAGGGACTATGGAATAACAAAAAGAATGAGAATTAATCCTCATACCTCAGCGTGGGAGATTACTGAAGGCTATGAAGATAAAGTAATGGATATTTGCACTTTGAAAAATGAAGACTATTGCCTTTGTTCTGTGCAGGGTGAAACAGCACTCCAAGGCCAAGCTACAACATTTGCAGGTGTACACTGGAATTAAGTGTTTGGTCTGTGTTTCAATGCACAGCCCCCAGGGAATTAAAAGAGGAAGAGGTGCCTGACCACTGTGCCGTATAGTCAGAGAGAAATCCAGAGAAGCTGCCTTGGAGCTCTGTGGTTGGTGCGTAGTGAGTTGCCTGTGACCTGGTTAAGATGAGCAGTGATGTGCTGCTGTCTGGGATTCTGAACCAGGAGGCAAAAATAGTGCAGGTTCCACCTGCTGCATTCTGGCTCTGCTGTCAAGTAACATTTTTAGCACATATGAAGCAGTTGGGAGTCATTACTGCAAAGAAATCTAAGCAAGAGGAACAGCAGATGTATGAGAAAAGGAAAAGCAGATTGACTAGCAGGAAGCAATGAAAGGAGATGCCATTCAGCTGCAGGGCTTGCAGAAAACTAGTGGATTTCTAACCATTCCTCTTAAAAAGTGAGGCCTGTGGAGCTCACCATGGAAGTGGATTGCATTGAGCAAAAGCATCACTGTGTTTTCAGGGAGCTGCTGTAGGAAGGTGGGTATTTGCCCATTAGTTGCTTCCTCTACCCATTTGTTTATGGCTACAAGGTCATCCTCGCTGATCCCGGAAAGGGTCACGGGTTTTGCCCCGTAGAATTTCTCTGAATCCTCCAGGAACTTCTCTTTCACCTCAAATCCTGGCAGAGGGGAAGAGTTCTACATGAAGTCATCAGGCATTGAAAAAAATTTACTCAGTGGCTGAGCCAGTGGCATGACACTCCCCAGGAGGAGTGCTTAGGGAAACAGAGATGTCTCCTAGTATGGCAGCGTGCTTCCATCGCTCTCTGTCACCAAGAGTTTTATCCTACACCAGGACGACCCCCTTGGTGCCAACTCTCACCTTTCTGCAGGTACAGATGCGACATGAGGCTGAGGGTGGATTCTGTGAGCCTGCTGCGAAGGGTGCCCAACATGTGGTGGAGACAGGGCACTGACTCCAGATGCATCGCCTCAAGCAAGTGCTTCTCTGTCTGATTCGCTGCTCCTAAAAAGCAAAGTCAAATTCCTGTCAGGTCATGCCCATGTGGTGGAAAACAGGGACATTACTCTAGATACCTCCTGTTAGAAACATACTGTGCCTTACAAAAGAGGCTGGAGAAACCTGAGAGTAGGAGCTTCAGCAGGGCCCTGGAGGGCAGCTTCTATTGTAATCGTACCTAATTAAAGCCGCAGGAGTAAGATTAAGTGGAAGGTGCTGTATTGAATCTTTGCATTTTGCACATTGATTCCTAGTGCCTCCAGGAGGGGGTACAGGGAAGGGCAGGAAAGGGTGCTTTTGTGACTTAAGAGGTTACCCAGGGCCAGGTGAGACAAGGCAAAGGCGACGCTGAGGGGTGACAGGATCACATTGGTTCTGTTGGACTCCAGCTGGACCTCTCTGAGGAGATCGATGCTGAATCTCATCAAGCCGTCTGCTAGCCTTTGGCTCTTCTTCCAAGTCATCTCACAGCTTTTCTCTTCAGCCTCTCCTTCCTCTTCAGAAGAGGAAATTTCCCCAGATGGTTGCTGTTCGTGACAGCCCACAGCCCCAGCTATGACTTCCTCTTCTGTGTTCCAGTCATTCCTTGTGCTTGGCGGGGTGGTGGTGAAAGGTAACATAGATCCATCGATCTCCTGGAAGTTGTCATGGGTAAATTCTGCCAACTCTGCGTCCGGCACAGGTGGGACGGCTCCCAGCAGTGCAGACTGTACAACTCCAGCACTTTTCAGGTCCTGGGGAGAAATGAGAAGGATAGCACCTGGGAAAGCAGGAGCAAGGCGCTACCTTCCCTCATGGGTTTTACTGCACACCTAACGCATTGAGGAAACTCTCTGGCTTCTCTACTGTGATGATGTGTTCCCTTCAGTTTGCCTTTTAACCTTGAGCACCTCAATGAGTATGGAAAAGAGAAGGTCCTGGGAAAATGGACTGAGTGAGGGTCTTGCAGTGGTTCCTCCTCCACTTGCTCTCAGGGCCTGCCCAAGGCAGATGAGCCCCACCAGCATGTTTTGAGGGCAAGAACCACCACCTGCTCAGCACATGTCCTGCGCCTTCCCCGTTTATCGATCCATCATCCTCAACCTTGATTTCACCACCTCCTCTCACATATTTTAGCACTGTCGATCTGCCTCATGCATCGGCCAGCACCCTCTACTGCTGTCACAGCCTTGATCCCTTTGGCTCAAGTCCTCCTCCAGGCATCTGTCTCTTCTTGACTTGTCTGTTCTATTCCATCCCATCCCTCTGCTCTCCAAATGTCCTCCTTTTCCAGTTTTCTAAGCTTTAGCCTACAGCACTGCCACTACTGTCCTCACATTTGCACGGTCTTAAACACATGCTTTTTCCCTCAGATCTCTGTGTTCCCACCCGCATCCAGATGACATTGCTCTCCTGCAGGAGCACTGCACTGTCAGAGCCAGGCTCGATGCGTAGCATCAGCTACGGGTCTTTCTCCCTGTCGCCCTCATAGCGAGTTGTTTTCCTCGTCTTCCCTTATCAATCAGAAACCTGCCAGTCCCTGTGCACGCCAGCAACTGGTGTTTACTCCATACGCTGCCCAGTTATTTAGGCTGGAGCTTCCAACACGAAGCAGCACAGTGTTGGCAGCAGTGGGTGAAGCGGGGAGGGAAGCCTGCAGAAAGATGGACTTTCTCATTGCACTGGCACTGCTAGATTGCACCGCCTGCGATCATCCTGTCTCAGGACAAACTGGAAAACCATTGCAAATACCACAGCATAACTTCAGTCCTCTTGGGTGGAACCAGTCATGGCTTACCTTCAGCTCCCCATCTTTGTCTAAGAAGAGATGCTTTTGCTCAATGTCATATGCCAAAGAAAACTGTAGGGGAGAGGAAAAACCAACAAAGTCATGTCTCAGATAATTTCCTCTGACTTTCCAGTCAGTCATCTTTGCTTCCACTCCTAACACATTCCCATGGGGCCAGGTCAGAGACTGGCAGCACCCTGGCTGTAGCAGTCCCTGCGTGGCTACAGCCTGGGCAGGGCTTTAGGATGCAGACCCAGAGGCGTCCCCTGTGGGGAGGTGGAAGTGAGCAGGAACTGGGAGAGATTGCAAATACTGGATTTGTTTAGAAAAGGATCAGGCCAGAAGGGTACAAAATAATGTATCCTCTAGAGAGTGAGCAGTGTGGTTTTGCAATCTCGGATCTGACAGGAATCCAGATTTAAAAGGGGGGGGGGGGAAGCTGTTATTAAAAAACCTCCTGTTAACCCCTGAAGGTCATGGTCACTAAATACAGTTGAAGCCAAGTTTCCAAAGATTTTCTACAGAAATCCACTTGAACAATGAGAATATCCACAGCTATTTCAGCTGGGAAAAACAAGATTAGAAACCTTGCTGTGCTGGGACACAGGCTGACCCCATAGCAGAGAAGCAGTGTCCTCCACCAATCTGCCTTCCAGGGCTTCTCACGCAGAAGCATCAGGCGGTATTTACCCCATGGTCTGGTGCAGGAGAGCCACCTCGCTCCCCTTGCCCTTTGTTGGCTGGGGAGAGGGCTGTGCTCACACCACA